TTAGATCGTCATTTCTTCTCCCCTTCAACTCTCCAGTTTTGGGTCAAAGGTATCCTCCTCCTGTGTTAAATCTTCACAAGTCTCAATTGGAGACGACATAGCTCCCTGCTTCAACTTTTCCCGAGTAGGCTCGGGCATATATCTCCGGGGTGGCATGGTTAGGGATTAAGGAATAAGAAAGAAGAATTTTAGTGGAATTAGGGTTTGGGTTCTGGAAGGTATATTTTATGGTAGGAAAGAGAGTTTTGGTTTATTAAGGATGCTTGGGAACCTTAGGATGAGACTAGGGTTCGACAAGCTCTGATACCAAATGATACCAGAACTAGTAGAAAAAATAATGGAAACACAAAAACAAGTTTTCATTAATATTAAAATAGGATTACAACATGATACAAATGAGAAATAACAACGCAAAATATAAAACAACACGAGCAAACAACTCTCAAGTGTATTCTTAGGGTGGTGGAGGCCAACTAGGTGGATCGGGATGACCAGCAGGGTGACAACAGCAAAGGCGAGGTGAGAAATTGCTTGGAAAGCTAGAGGGTTGGCTGTCCTGTGCTGCGACAGTGAGAAATGGTTGCATAAATGGCAGAAACAACAAGGGTTTGCTGTCTCGGGGCAGTGTTAGTAAGGATTGGTGGGTCGGCAGTGTAGGAGGAAGCTGTTGGGGTGGCTGGGAGGTGTTTGGAAGAAGGTCGGAAGGCCGAACAACAGTAATAACCTGCTGGAAGGGGGACGACCAAGTGTTGGTGACAGAGGGAGAGTTCGACGGATGAGAAGTGGGGAGAAGAATGTTTGGGGAAGGTAAAAGGGAATGATACAATGACCACCTCGGAGGGGATACAGCCAGAGCACCACCACCTCCTCGGATACAAACCTAGAACAAAGAAAAGAAATCCACACAGAATATCTCAGAACAAACACAACAAGAACTGCCTCCCACATACAGAGGACAACAAATAATAGACTCTTACTCGACAAAGAAAACTTCTACATAAAAGAGATATGTGGGAAGCCAAGAAGAATCCATAAATCACTTCCCAAATGAAGAAAAATGTGGAAAACTTGCGATGCACCATCCTAGATCGCGAAAATTCGCGATCTTGCTATTGTTTCCGACTTTGCTGGAGGGATTGCGGGAATTCTGTTCCGCGCGATCAGCACCCCGCTACAAGGTGCCATTTAGGTCCCCGCTTCAATGCCCTCACACCAGACAACACTCCTCCTGTTGTTCTGCAGTCCACAACCCTTCCCCTTCGCTTCCCTCTCACTGTCCCAGCCCTCCACTTCGATGCTAAAGCAATTCCAACCCCTCCTCTTACTGCCCAATCACCCACAATCCATTTCAACTACCTACCTTCGCTCTTCGACCACCTAGCTGACCTTCACCACCCATGGATTGAGCACTAGTGTGAGTTTGTATTGTACTGTCTTCGACCACCTAGCTGACCTTCACCACCCATGGATTGAGCACTAGTGTGAGTTTGTAGTAATTAGTTTTGCCCCTATTTAAGAGTCTGGGGTTAATATGTTATTTTAATAAATTCTGGGATTAAAATGAGCACGTAAATAGCCAAGATTCTATTTTGACACTTTACTAAGAAAATATGATCATTTTGCAATCATTTAGGTATATTATGTAAATGTTTTGATTTTTTTTCCTTTCAATTATGTTTGATTGTAACCATCTATTTGCTTTCAGAAATGATATTTCTTTTTCCTATTATTGTTTGAGTTAACTCCGACATCGCTTTAAAAATACAGGAAAAAAAAGTGTAGGCACACAAGAAGCAACCATGATTGATTGTTCCAAGAGATAACAATCAGAATTTAGGCATACAAAACTCAATATTATACTTGCTTATATGAAAAACTTAAGCAAGCTAACATTGCAAAATCTAAAATAATTGCAAAGATTTGTGGTTTAAATTTGAATTTAGAGCTCCTCTGAACATGAGAAGATCAATACCACTGCAATACGAAAGTCCTTAAAATATAATAAAAAGAGGACCGCTTCTTCCATTGCATTAACCCATCAAGGAAAACATTAGTGACATCAAAGAAACTAAAGTTACTATTATAACAAATCTAGTTTCCATTAAGAAATATATTTTAGAAGCCGCCACAACAAAATTACACTTTTTCTTTCTGTATAACAATTTGAAAAACTTGAAACTCCACGATACCACATGGCGTCACTCTCACTATAACATAATAAATAATTAACATGTATGATGACTTTAATATACATCATATGCATTCAAACACCAAATTACTAGGATAAAGGAAAAAACTTGTTCACCTTACTATGAACAAGCTATTTTCCCTAACCTGAAGCAATAGTGATGGTAGCATTTGGTGAGCTATAAAGCTAGATAGGATAAAAAACTCGAGCACAAAGTTCAAAATATAATTAAATGTTATATTTTAAACTTATACGAGTAAATTATAAATTGCAGTTTTAACTACTTCAGTGCAATAAGGCATCAAATTAGGAAATGCTTTAACAAAGGAATATGTGCATGACACAATCAAAAATATAAAAGGAACATGTGAATGACATAATTTCATCTTTTATTCTCATTTTTTTACTTACTATAATCTCAAAAGTGTTATATAATATCTATTAGGATGATAGAATCGAATGTTTTAACATTAATACAAAATAAGGCAAGATGGAATGAGCAACCACAAGTGTATTCCTTGATTCAATAGGAGCCTTAAGTATCTATTGATTTTAAAAATGAAGTTGATAAAGTTGGTTCATGTAATATCTATTAAAATAAATAATAATAATAACAAAATTAATTCAAATTAACAATCGAGATTTGAGGGAGGGGGGTGGGGGGGTTGATCTTGAGGTCATTTTGTTCGTAGCCTGCAGAAAACGAAGGGAGAACAAAAGATATAGTGAGAGAACCCTAGCCAAAGGAACACATATGAGGATGCGAGGGAGATCTCAAGTTGCAACAAAAGCTCATGCTCTAGTATGTCAGCAGAGATCATCATGCGAAAGAAGAGGAAGCTGAAGGAGGAAAAAAGTGCGCGGCTCTGTCGAGAGGAAGGAGAATCGAAGCCATGGAAGCCTCGTCCGTGTCGACCGAAATATATAAGGTGAGTTAAAGATTTTAATTAAGTTACTTAATAGATTTTATGAAAATATATGTGTGTGTGAGTTATTTAATTAATGCTAATAGAAAGTTTAATTGAGTTAGGATTGGGGCTATTAAGTCTCGAATTAGAAGGAGAAAAGAGTAACGTGAACTTTCTATACGTAGGAAGAGAAAGAATGGCGGGCATGAAATGGACAGCCAAAGCTCTAATTTGTGTTGCCGAAAAAAGATGCTTTAGGATTCTATGATTTTAATTATTTGAATTGAAATTTTTTTTTACGTAATGCTAATGATAGATTTAGCTTAATAAGATATTATAGGAAGAATATTAGGGGCTAGATCAAATAAAATTGTAAGGAGGAAAAGAGAATCTTGTGCAAAAGGAAGCAAACCAAACCTTTTAAATTAAGAATTTATATACTTATTTATATGTGTCGTTTTTAATTATATGTCATTAGATATATTTTAAATTCTCATGAGTAGAATTAGTGAGGATTTTTTATTCAAAAGCTATTTAAAAGAAAAAAAAAATTAATAAATTAGATATATTTAAGTCATTTTTTTATGATTGAATTCTTATAATTATATGCACATTTAATTGATATAGGTGGTATAGTAAAGAAAATGACGAGAGGGAATAAGCTTTTACAAAAATTTGTAAATTAAGGTTTTATTGAATGAATAAATGCATTATTGCTTATGCTTTTATACTCAGAGACGTAACATGAAAATTAAAAAAGAAAAACGGTGGTTTGAATAACATTAAAGGGAAGTAATTAAAATAAATAAAATATAAAAGCTTATGTAAATTAGGATTACCCTCAGATGGTATTAACAAGAGATGTGATGCACCCATGCACGATAAAAAAATGAAAATTATAGAAGTGTACCTTCAGGTGCTAATTTTCTAGAGTACCTATGGAGATAATTTTGATAATAACTTCGGGTATGACAATAATCCTGATATGATCTGAGGTTAAAAATGGTAAATACTTAAATGAAAAAGGGAAGGGTTAAATTTAAAATAAAAACTTATAGTTTGCTTATGTAATGAATTATATTTTTTTAGTCATGTATGCATAGCATTCACATATTAATTTAATGCATTATAAGGTCACAATTGCACACTAAGTCGTGTAAACTTACTGTTAAATTTAATTGTTTCTCTCAGAAAAAGCTTTAGGTTGATATGACTGACCGAAGTGATTTGATTTATATACTAGGTAGCATGTTATTTATTTTGCTTATAGTTCTTATGTTGTTTAATTCTAATAAATGTTGGACTATTGTTGGTTGGATAATGACACTGTTTTAATCAGCCTATGTTGATACTTTGGACGAATTAGTTTTCTGTTTAGTGTACTTAGTGGATTTTTTTAGTGGTTTTTTTTATTATTTGAAATTTTGATGGATTATTAAATGATATAAATGAAATGTTGATACTTTTTTTTTATTATTTGAAATTTTGATGGATTATTAATGAAAAGTTGATACCGTCCGACCGTAGTTCCTAATTTGATAAGTTATCAGGTCGAGTTGTGACAAAAGTTGTATCAGAGACGATTAGGTTGGATTATGATAAAAAAGAGTCATTAAGTTGATTAAATTAATTCATAAATAATCTTAGTGAAGGATTAAATTGTGTCTAATTATAATTTTTCTAATATTATTTTAAAGATAAAAAATTAGAGATGATGTGGTAGAAGACGTCCTTTATCATCCAAAATAATCCATTTACTTCAAAGCACAAATATGACAACTTCAATAGAAACATCACACAAAACTATTGCATGAACCAACTCTACACATCTACCAAGAAGTTTGTTATCATTTGAATAAGAGTAACAAATTAAAACTAACTTTATTTCAAATCTTAATGAATACCTCAGGATGAGTCAGAGACGCCCTCAATGTTGAGTATCCGCTAAGCACAGAATCTGTTACTGGAAATTCAAAAAATAATATTAAACTCAAATATTACCACATAAAAAATGATTAAAAGTTTGTATTTCCAGGACGAGCACTATAAAATAACACAGATTCTAAGTGGAACTCAATTTTTGGAGATGATATAATTAGCACCGAATTTAATTAATTTTCTTAAGAAAAAAATAGATGGGAGTATGACCACAAAAATACTAAAGAACTTGCCCTACTTAAAGAGTACTCACTAATTGAATGTAATTATAAAGCGACTCTTCACCGTAACTTCAGACCTCTGCTTGTTTATCCCAGCGCATGTGCTTGTGAAGCAATTGCCCGCATGCCACAGTGTCGGGTATTGCTCATCGGTAACTACAAACTCAATCCATGACCAAATTGCTCGCAAGTTCCCCTTCACTTATGAAAACTATGGCCTTCACCATCTCGTGCAAAATCCATTTCTCATAATTGTATAGTTTTTCATTGTCTACCAGATTCTCTTCTTATTCATTTAAAGCTAATCATCTACCATATATCTAGCTACACGCAAGATCTTGCCACTTGCAATCTATGGGCTTTGGCCTGTTGTCACTACTCCATGAAGATTGTTTGGAACTCTAGAATATGCACTTGGGGAAAACTATTACTGTGCTTGTTTATGAAGCCAGTTTCCAAAACTCAACAACTAATCTGAATTGGATCAAAAAGCTGCAATTACACCCAAGAGGGTATGTTTTGGTGGAGGATCTTACACGAAGCTATTTCAACTAGGGTTTAGCTTGCTAGAAGGGGCCTTACGGATTCTATGGTGTGCTCTTAGGAATGTTCGGAGGTGGAAGATTGAGATCATCATTCTACTAATTGTTTTCTCTTTCATAGGATAAGAGACATCAAGGCAATTTGGGGCATCACGATACCAACTTTCAGCAACTTCCAAGTGGTCATTGACAAGCTAAGCAACATGCCTAAAAACAGCATTCCACAAGCCCAATGTTTTCAATAAATTGTCCATCATTGTTGGAGAGCTAGCAATGTGAAGATACACAACAAACCTCACGGCATACCGACAACCATTGCTGCGAACATTCTTGAGGCACTCACAAAGACTCAAATTTATCCATTTCGGGAGCAATGGGATGCTTATCGACCTCAGGTTCGGTCTCTCCTCCTTTCTAGCACTTCACCCCACCCCTTCTCCCTCTCGGATGGCTCAAGTTGAATGTTAATGGAGCTCTTCTACCATGTGGTTCGGCCGACACCAGTGATATCATACGGATGATTGTGGACGTGGTATTTTGGCAACCAGACAGCTCATTACCCATTGGGATAATGCTCAAGTGGACTTTTAGCCATCCGATCTATTCAAGGCATTTGCAAACTGGGTTTTTTTATAGCAAAGGCAACATTATCAAAAGGGACAATGCCAATATTTTGAGTTCTACAATGTAGAGCAACGTTTCAGATCTAGCCTTCCTCCTCATATTCAAAAAAGTTTTGTTTTTTCATATACCTAGGATTTATAACAAGGCTTCACATGCTTTTACTCCATTAGCCCTTCAATGTTCTTTTGTTTGTCGCGTGTTAATGATCATAGTGCTCTTTCTTCTATACTCATAGATGATATTCCACGCTTTTGCACATGATAGGTGAATACATGCAAACTTTATGTAACATTTGATTTTTTTAAAGCAAAAATGCAGCATGTTCAAGGCTTGTGGTCACCACGCTTTTCATGTGATGTTGATCATGTGATGCCTCTACTTTAATGCGTGATTAACTCTGAGTGTTGGCACTTGCACTAGGTCCACCTCTAACCTTGACACCCAAGGTCATGCCTTGCTTCAATTTAGCTTGTTGGTCAATTTATGTTCAATATTGTGTACCTAGAGTCGTGCCACCTCACTTTCATTAGCTTAGGATTTTTTTTTAGTATCGATTTAATCTGTTTTGCTAACTATTCCTTAGGAACTTCCATAATGTGATACTACTCCTAGGGTCACTCCCTTTACTAAGATCTCAACCACTATGAAATTTCACTCTCTCAATTCATTTGCTAAGATTTTTAAAAAAGGGTACAAACCGTCCCCCACACACACATATTTTTAGTGAGCTCATGTACCATGTCTATCATTTTGTAAAATAAATCAAAATACATTTTTTATTTCAAATAGATCACTAAGTTTGCATCTCATTTTTCGTTCTCCCTTGCTGATAAGTTTCCTTCCACTTTTAAAAATTATTCACTTTCAAGGAACCCAATTTAGAGATCATTCACCTTCATGTCTGATTTAAAGTTGATTGAGAATTAGATAGTTGTACTTATTGATTTTTGTCATGTTCTTATTATGTTATCAATATAGGATGATCATTCAAAAGTTTTTGTAAGAAGATCATACTAGGAGGAAAAATTCCCCATATGTATGCTTAAGTGATCGCCGCATTTTGATTGTTTTAAGGAACCTCCAGTACTATAGTTTGGGTTTGTCTTTTCACGACTACTAAATGACTATTTCAACCAATCCACTTTACATTTTCCTAGCTCAAGTTTTGGTTTACAAGTTTAGGCAGATATTGCTACAGCTATACTATATAAGCCATTAAAGGCTAGGGCTCTGGTTGAAATAAATACCATGACCTTTATGGAGAAGAAGATTAAAATTAGTTCCATTATTTATGGCTAATGACAGAAAGTGAAATTTGGAGGTATTCTTTTATATAGTTATTCTTGCAAAATTTTGACTCATAACTTCTCAAAATGCTTATCATACCCGACTACAAAAATCTTATAGCAATTAGGACACAACAAAGTATTTAATTAATAAAAATCAACCTGTTAGCACAATGATGGCACTTTCAACCACTTAGATGAGATTGGCAAAGAAAATTTTGAATCAACTATAGATATAATCTAGAAATTAAAGCCATCATTAGATGATAGCCAAATAGTAGTGGCAAGCATCACACTTACTCATGAGAATATTGATCCAGATTCTTCAGAGATTTTCTCCTTATGATTATTGTGTTATTGGGGATATTGATAATCCAAATTCTTTATTTGCTATGATATTTCCAAACTCTTTATTTGCTATGATATTAATATTTCCAACACAAAAGATCTAGTGGAAAAAAATTGAAATTCTTTATGCCATAAGGTATGGAAATGGGAAGAAATATGTCGACACCCTCCAAAATATATCAAAGTTCAAGTTTGATAATGTTTATCTCTCTAAGGGGTTCTTCTATTTTGGCTCTGCTTTGTTGCAATCAAGTTGGCCTTGATGGTGTATTATAATTTTTGCACTTTAATCTAGCAACATTTTGAAATTACTTGTATTTTCTTTATTAAATATTTATGATTTTTTGTTAAAAATATCAAATTGTAAGACATTATAGGACAAATATTCCACTTTATTTGAGGCCACTTGCATTCAAAATAATTATTAATTAGGAAATTGATTCATCTAATCAAACTGAATCTAAATATTTTCTCCAATTTTCAAGCCCTAGCTGCAAATGATAAAAGAATTTCAAAAGGCCAACTAGTAATTTGAGCATAAGTTTTTTAAGCGAAGTAATATATGAAACAACATTTTAGCTGAATCATGCAAATTTTAGTCGAACTAGACATCGATCCGAGGAAAATGAAATAATTTTTAGCTAAATTAACAAATAACACCTTTCCTTGACTACTCATCATTAATTTTTTTACCAAATTATAAAAAACTATTGAATTCAATACATCTTTAAGAGAAATTTTCACTAGTTTTTTGCCCCTCATTACTCTTCAGTACTCAAACTACTACAATGTGATGCACATCCAACAAGGAGATTGGTTAAAAATCTTATTTATAACTAAAATAATGCAAGGCATATCAATGTTATATCCATTATTATACCCAATCGTGCGGCTTCTTGAGATAATATTGTTGACATGTCCTTTAACAGATTAATTTCCTCTTGCATTTTATATTTATTTTTTATGATATTACACTTTAAAGAAAGATTTTTTTATGATTTTGATTACAGATATAACCAGTTAAGCAATTGGAGCGAACTAGAGTCAAAACAGAGCAAAACAGAGCAAATGGAGCAAAGGAGGCTTGGACCCTGTTGACCTCATTTTTAGTGAGGCCTAGTCTTTCTCGTAGGATTTAGGATCTAGCCTTAGGGGACTCCCTTTGACTATCTTAGAACCTTAGAAATGAGACCCGCCTCATTTTAGAAGTTCGACTTACTTCTGTCCTCTTTTGTGGTTTCGCGTGTGTAGTATCGACTTCTAGCACTTAGAAGGGTGAAACAGACATCAGAAAACCCAAAAGGGATTCCTATAGGACTTTTCTGAGCCTTAGGGTGACCTTCTGCACAATTCGCATTCCCGCGCGCACAAAACTTCGTAATTCGGAGAGTCGACACGTGCGATCGCCACAATTCACATCGTTTACACTGTTACCTGTCAAATGCTCGAGTAAACCTTTTGAAACGATCGATCGCGGGTCGAAATTTTGTAAAATTTGAATTTTGACGCGTTTTCGACCCGATTGTCGACGACGTCGTCCGAGCGACCCCGGATGACAAAACGGACTGCACCGGCACGTCCGGAACGTCGATTTTGCCTAGGGAGGACACCCATTTTG